TTCTTGCACAGTGCGTTTCACGTCGGTTTCACCTTGATAGCATTTTAAACATTTTCACATGATGGAATTTCGTATGATCGAGTTTAAAATTGGACCGGGAGCAGTTCACAGTTCTGTCAATGCCGGGATACTATTTTCGTATGTTTACAGCGGAATGGTGAATATAAAGAATGACGCAATTGCTACACGTGTTTTCAAGGCGATCGTTATTAGCACTTGCCCCATTGAGCGTGAGTAGTCCGCGAAGTCGTTTCAGCTGGCTCCCGTTCCACGGGAAGCCTCGACATTTAATTACATCGTGGCTAATTAAATTGCTCGATCGATCATGCCACTGCTCGAACGTTCGAAGCCTCTAGTGACTCGTTTTTATGCCGCGGAGGGAATTCGTCGCGGGCTCGTGGGAAGATCGATACAGCACTGACAGAGTCACTTGAAAAAGCGAAGAATCATCGCTCGTACTGATTGAGTAATCTCGATGACCTTCGCGCAATCATGGCACGATGGCGTCGAAAATCTGCCTGCGGACGAGTTGGAGTTTATATATGCGACCGCTCCGAAAATATCATTCACACTCCTGCTTCTTTTTTCTCGAACTCGAGGATCACCGCTAGGTAAAAAGGACCATAAATTTTTACCCAAAATTTAGATTGAATTTCTAACAAATCTTGCTCCCGTCTGCAAAATATCATAGTTTACTTTCAATTACGATCTTCCTCGTTGGCAAAGTAATTCTTCGCGACAGAAAATAAAAGAAATTGGAATTTTTCAAAACCTGTCACATTGCCGGCAGAATTCGTGCAAAAATGTAAAAAGCAATTTCGACGTAATAACACTCTGGAGAATAATTGATTGACCGGTTCATTGACATAAACTTTTCGCTTTCTTTCCCCTTTCTGTATAAAAACTTGCCCCTCCATAATGAACACTCGGAGGACTTTTGTCACCGAGCGATTCTCTAATTACGGTATCTAAAATCGCAAAGACCATTGAACACAAAATTTATTCATACGTATAGCCCGGTTATCGGCACGGCGATTTTCATTATCTCCCTAGCAACGATCGATCGTTACATAATGAAACGTTTCGCGAGACGTTTTATCGTGTCGCGAGTAGAAGAACAATCAGCTCGACAAATAACGTGCACCGAGCAAACGGCACGATGGGCAGGGTGTTTCGATAAAATCGTTATCGATTATCTGTCGAAAAGGAAACGTTCCGCTGACTAACGAAACAAATGCGACATCGTAGCTTTATCGATCGAGCATTTTGTCAACGTGAAATTAATATTGTTCACCGATGTCCTCGTTATAAAATACCTGTCCAGGGGGAGGGCAAAAAAAAAAAAAAAAATCTTACAAGAATGTCAATTTGTCACGCAGAGCATGATGAAGCTAACGTACTCGGTTGTTACTACAGCAATTAACCAATAATTATTCTACTAAACACAACGTGACGCCGCGTATTTAAAACTTAAATTATTATACAATGTTTCTACAAATTTCAATATTCAATTCGATATTCGTAACTGCCGGCAAAGATGTAAGTTGCATACTTCCGATGGAATGAATTTGTAGAAGAATTTGTGTTTTCAAGCGCGATAAATTTCAACCACTTGAAATCCATGATATAATCGTACAATGAGAGCAAGTTCCACAAGATACATAGATATTCATCACTCGGAGATGGCGCGAATCTGGAGCACAACCATTGTCGAAACAATGATTGAAAACCGCGTCTCGCTGACCCTCCATTCATAAAAATTATTCATACGCATATTATCTAGCGACTTTATCGACTGAAGGAAGCCGAATTCTTGCATCTCTGGCGTTTCCAGAAAGAAAGAATCTCTAATCCCTTTCATCGCGTTGAACATTGAATTTTTCATTCGACTGTACTAACTAAACTAAAGCGAATCTTTAATTTCAGAATTCGCCCGGATAGTGAAGACTCCGCCGAAAGGATGAGCAAGCAGTACACGAGGAGCGAAGTTGCCAGCTCCAACAGCAGGAATCAAACGATGTTCATCATACACGACAAGGTGTACGATGTGACAACATTTTTGAACGAGCATCCGGGTGGCGAGGAGATCCTGTTGGATCACGGCGGTAAAGACGCGTCGGAGGACTTCGACGACGTTGGCCACTCCACGGACGCGCTAGACCTGATGAAGAAGTATAAGGTCGGCGAATTGGTCGAATCGGAAAGAAAAGGCAGCGAGCCTAAGAAGACATGGACGTCGGACTACTCGAAGGATAAGCAGAACAAGGAGAACCAAGGACTGTCGCCTTTCGTGTGGGTGTCCGCCCTCGCCGCCATGATGGCCATCGTCTACTTTGTGTACTTATAATTGTAACTCCCCCCTCCAGAAAAAAAGAAAAAAAAAATTTCACGTTCCATTGCGAAAGAAAGAAGTGTGAACAATTTTTCTTTGTAACGTTGCACGTCGGCTGAATGGTTGGCACGAATGTTAAGCGATAGCTAGGCACAGACCTGTCCTCTCCAACTCGTGTACACCAGCGACTTTCAATTTTTACTTGTAAAATAGAATAGAAATAGTGCTTTTCTTCTGGGAACAAGCCCTGGCAATTTTCACGAGAATCCCACGTTTTCGAGGAAATAAATTTTTATACAGACGCTTCTTCTACCTGTCGTTCCATCAGCTTCTCCCGACCGTCTTCAATTCGATCAGACTCGGCTCTTCCCGATTTCAATACTCATTTACATGGGCAATTATTCGCGACCAACCATCCGAGGATACAGAAAACAGAAGATCCTCGTCGGTATTGTTTTATCGTAGCGAAAGAAGGAAAAATTACGAATCGATCTTGTCTGTAATCCGCGGGCGGGTGGTGTGCGGAGAGATCGCGGTTGACCCGCGTTCGAACCGCAGATCCCCTCTCGATCGACATAAATCGAAATCGTCTCTGCGAGGATCGTTTCTTGAAGAAGAAGCCCGGCGAGCATTTGCATTCGAATGGCTCGCATTACAAAAGCCTCGTTGCAAGTTTTCAACGAGAGGACAGAGATCCGATCGATCGAACCACCGGTTCGTTTCGCTGGATCTCGAGGAGATGTAACTCTCTCTCTCTCTCTCTCT